GAGGCTGGGGAGCTGCAGAGCACCAAGCAGGGAGGTGAGGGGTGGCGCTGCGGGGCCAACCCGGCAACACCCCAGCTGCTCTGCTGCGCGCTGCTTCCCCAAGTCTGCAGCTGGTCAGTTTCAGCAGTGGCAGCAGTGGACTTGGGGAAGCAGCCCAGAACAGCTCCAATTGTCCAGCTGGTCAAAGCACTTCCAGATTCCAGTTGGTGATGGACTATCGGGAGTGCCGGACCACTGGATGCCAGACAATTGGAGTTTTACTGTATATTGCTTTCCTATTTCTGCCATGGAAGAAATTCAAAAGAGGAAGCGAGGAGAGAGAACACTGGATTCCTATTGTGTAAGTCAAGTCACATAGCTCAACACCACGAATCAATGAATTCTTTGCTATCTTATGCAGAACAGAACATGAGAATCTCTGAAGGATTAAGTACCACTAACAAATACTTTAAAAATCTGTCTTGTCCCCCTCTCCCTTCCCCCCTGCAACTCCTCAGAATTTAGGAAATACTTGTCTCAAAGAAGCTAATTGGCCAAGATTTACATTCCAAACAGGAACCAAATGTTGATTTTAATGACTTCTATATCACAATAAACAGCATTGACTTTGAACAATACTCTTTTAGACATTAAAGTTAAACTGATTATTTGGTTCCAAAAAGGCTGTCTGTTTTTAAAAAGTAAGGTGTCAGGTCATTATATTGTTATTGCTTTCCCGCCCCCCCCTTCCTCCCCAACACAAACTGAATCTTAGCTTCCACCATTCCTTTTTCCAGTTTCAATTAGCCTTGTTCTACTTGATTTCTCCTCTTGCCTTCAGCCTAGTTCCAGTACATGATTTTTAGTCATTCAAGCTCTCTCTCAAGCACAGCTAGCATTTGCATACCACTTTTAAAGAGACTCTCACACAGACACACACGGATGCTATCAGTTCAGTTAGGCTCAAAAATGTCCATTTTTTTAAAGCTAATCCCATGCAGCATCCTTGACCAAGATCTGTCATTAGTCATGCTTATGTTTTCAAAACACAGCTCTGTTTAAGGCATTGTGAGATATCGTGATGACAAGGGAGCAACTCCTATTTTTCCCTTGGGGCAAAATAAAGACTAACAATCTTGTCTGGATAGCAGCCAATGAAAACTTATGATTTGATATTCCAACATTAAGAATGTTGTTTTGAGTTATTCAACTATTACTTTTGTTATAACTTATAGCATTTTTGTATTCTAGTTGGAGTCTTTGGTTGTGAAAGGTTAGAAGCATACATTCTCAATCCCACTCCAAACATCTATGGGGTCAAAGATTCATCACCAGTTACACCTCTGAAGGGGACTTTTTGTGTACATCTCTCCTCAGCCTGATCAGGGCAAGAATGTCTGTTGGGGCTGCACAAAGTTTTAGGCAGGGTAGAGCAAGAAATCTGTCACAATGAAGCACCATTCCTGAATGAGCTCCTCCTTTTTAATGAAGAAACCCATGAAAATCCAAGAAATTAAATTAAGTTTGGAGCTACATTAATTTGGGGATGTTAAAAAGTAGTTAATTGGATAAATGTTTAACTGCTGAAAATTTATTTATATTATATCAAATTTAAATACAGAGGCAGCAGCATGGGGTGGCAGTTGGTTCCTGGAACGCACCAGCTGCTGCCGCACACTGCTTCCTCTGTTTCAGAAGCAGCAATGCAGGGTGACAGCTGGCTCCCCAGGAGTGGGGCAGGAGCCTGCGTGGTACCATGAACATTAACCAATAAGTTCAGAGTTATTGGTTAACCATTTACACTTTCACATCCCTAACACTAATGCTCTTTGACTCCACTACAGGAGCTGTGTTCCATCACAAATAAGGAGATCCTGGTGGAGGCAGGGCCAACTGATACAGGACTATTTCTACTTTTCAATTAAGGGCTCTCTTCTCTAAACATCCTTGAGATGCCTGGAATGGGAGATCCTGTGCCCTAAAAGTTTAGTAGGCTCCAAAGTCCTCCCTCTTAAATGGATGATATACAGTAAGTTATATAATGTTCCACAAGGTTCACATGTCCAATTGGCCCATTCTTAGGAACAATACAAGCAAGGGAGTCTTCAGTAATACTAATCTATTAATACGACTATGCAAGAATGTTTTTCCATGGTATGAAAATTTCATTTCATGAGTTTAGGATGAGTAATGAAACCATGAGTGAGTTATGTTGGTCATTTCAACTGAGAGCTAATATCTTTATATCAACAAATACCCTCATATGTATGTTGCCAAACACAGAATTATGCACCTTTTTAAACAGGCGGCAACAAGTCTGCTCAGGCTAAAAAAAGCCTCTATTTTAAAAAGGAAGGGCAGACAAGCAGGTACTGAATAGAATTCATACTCTTTTGAGGTAGCGCCATTAATAGGTTTTAAAAGCAGAAGCCAGATTTCACAGGAACATCACCTTTCTATCAATTTTAGTAAACAAAATCTACATACACATGTGACAAAGCAATATAAAACAAAGCACAGTCATTGCTCAAAGGCAATTGCTGTACTTTAAGGAAGTAAAAAAAAGAATTTCTAACCAGAATCTTTCTGCTTGTTTTTGAAACTGCCTTAAAAAGCCCTGGAAATCCAGGGAAATAAAGGAATATTTATTTCTCGAAGAAGAGGAACCAAAGTATAATCTAAAGCTTTCACTTAGGATTCAGGCCTTGCAAACAGACGGGGTAAGTTGCAGCTATTGCAGTTTGCACAACAAAGAAATAACAAGGACAGCCATACCTATTCCATATCCTTCATAGAGTTGTCTTTCATGTTCTGTGGTCTGTTTGATGATCATCTCCCGGGAACCGTGTTGCCTTCCCTGTCTGCCTTTAATGCTGTTATGTAATTCAATCTGCTCCAGCTCATCACTGAATCGATGTAAATATCTGAAAGACAACAAGTTTAAGCTATAACATGTCTCGCCGCATCTTATTACAACTATTCTGGTTTGGTCATTTGCCAATATTTACTAGTTTTTTCTTTGCCATCTGCACTACATCTAAATATATGCCACTGATTCTCTTGAATTCAGTGTGAAAAATGCATTATTCTTCCAAAAGAGGAACGCTGTTTAGGATGTGACCTCTGGACTCTTACCCCATCAATTTAAGAGTACACAATGTCACCTACTGACTCTCTGAGGGAAGGAAGACTAGCACTGTATTGGGAGAACTTCCAAATGATTACTGGATAAGGATGATAGAGAGCAGAGTTTTCTTTTACATGTTTGTTCCACCTATAGCAAAGATTCATAGATTTCCAGGCCAAAGGGACCTCTGTGATTTAGCCTGACCTCCTGCGTGAAACAGGGCATAGAATTTGCCCAAAAGAATTCCTCAACTACATCTTTTGAAAGAACATTCAATCAATTCAGTTGCACATCCTCTAGTGCAGGCATGTCCAAAGTCCGGCCCGCAGGCCAAATGCGGCCCGCGGTCGGATTTAATATGGCCCCCCGCTTCTCCCGGCTCCCCGGTGCTTTTTTCAACTGGCGCGCACAGCGCGCCGCTTCGGGCCGCCGCCGCCGCGGTCCCAGACCCTGCCCCTGCACTCCGCTTTGGGGCTGAGAGTGCGGGGACAGCCCCCGCTTCCTCCCCCTCTCCTGGCTCCCCGGCGCTCCTCTGAACTGGCGCCGCTTCCGGCCGCGCCGCCGCCGTCCATGGCGGCCGCTGCGGTCCTAAAGTCTGCCCTGTAGGGCATGTCCACAGCCCCGCTCTCCCGCTTGGCTGCGGGTTCGCCCTGTCCCCGGGCCGCCGTGAGGCCAGCGTGCCCTGCGCTCTCCGCCCGCCTCTACCTCTGCAGGCCCTCTACCTTGGGGCTGAGAGTGCAGGGACGGACTCCACAGCTGCTGAGATCAGGGACGGACTCCGCAGCTGCTCAATCTCAGTATCTGTGATTGGCCCTGCGCACTGTCAGCTTCCTGGCGGGCTCAGGCACGTGGAGCTGCGAACACGCCAGACTTCACCACAAACCGGCTCAGGCACGACATAAACCTCTGGCACTGCGCTCACATGATCCCTCCCCCTTCTGGTCAATTTAAAAAAATGGCGACTGTAAATAAGAGAAGGAAAGTTGACAGTGAGGGCCGCCGCTTCCAGGACAGGTGGAAAGTGGAATATTTCTTCACTGAAATAGAGAATCACTGTGTTTGTCTGATATGCCAAGAGACTGTGGCTGTTTATAAGGAATTTAATGTCAAGAGACACTACCAGTCGAGACATAGCACATACGACAAGCTTACAGGGCACGACCGCAGTGAAAAGTTGAAGCAACTTGAAGCTGTTTTAATGTCACAACAGAAATTTTTCATAAGAGCCCGTGAGTCAAATGAAAATGCCACAAGGGCGAGCTATGAGGTGGCAACGTTAATTGCTAAAAATTGCAAATCTTTTGCTGAGGGTGACTTTATCAAAGAATGCGTTATGAAAATGGTTGAGAATATCTGTCCCGAGAAGAAGCAAGAGTTTGCCAACATTTGCCTGGCTCGTAACACTGTAGCACGGAGAATTGAAGAGATTTCATCAGATATTAAGAGACAGTTGACATCCAAAGGAGTGGATTTTGACTTCTTTTCAATAGCCTGTGATGAAAGCACGGACCTATCTGACACAGCTCAGTTGCTGATTTTTATGAGAGGGGTGGACGATGAAATGAATGTGACTGAAGAGCTACTTGACCTCCAGAGCCTTACGGACCAAACAAGAGGAAAAGATTTATTTGTTTCTGTTAGTTCCGCCATAGATGACATGAAACTGCCTTGGAACAAAGTTACTGGGATTATTACTGATGGGGCACCTGCCATGGTTGGTGAACGAAGTGGATTATCAACCCTAATCTGTAACAAGGTGATCGAAGAAGGAGGCAAAGCTATTAAACTCCATTGTATCATTCATCAACAAGTTCTCTGTGCTAAACATCTCAAATATGATCATGTTATGAAACCGGTGCTAAAGACTATTAATTTTATTCGCTCTAAAGCCCTGTGCCACCGCCAGTTTAAACAGTTTCTACTGGACATCCAGGCTGAATACGAAGATGTTTTATATCACAACGATGTAAGATGGCTCAGTCGGGGGTCTGCACTGCAGCGTTTCTACTCTCTCAGAAAGGAAATCGGAGAATTCTTGGAAACAAAGGGACAACCAATGCGAGAACTATCTGATCCTATTTGGCTGGCTGATTTGGGGTTTCTAGTTGACATAACAAAGCATCTGAATGTACTGAACACGAGTCTTCAGGGGAAAGATGCAGCGGTGAACCAGCTTTATTCACACCTCAAAGCCTTTGGGACAAAGCTGCAACTTTTCATAAGGCAGTTGTCACAAACACAGCCCAATACCATACATTTTTCAGCGTTGCAGGAAATAATGAACAGTTTTCCACAGGACAATATCAGTGCGCAAACGAGCAGGTATGCAGCAGACATTGCATCTCTGGCTGGGGAGTTTAAACGGCGCTTTCAGGACTTTGCAGCTATTGAAAAGGAGATCAGCCTTTTCTCCTCTCCATTCTCTGTTGACCCCGAGGATGCTCCAGATCAGCTGCAGCTCGAGCTCATTGAGCTGCATTGTGACAGCGAGTTACGCAGTCGTCACCAACAGCTCTCTCTTGTGAACTTTTACCGCCAACTGGATAAGAGCCGGTTTCAAGAGATTCGAACATTGGCTAAGAAAATGCTGAGCTTGTTTGGCTCAACATATATGTGTGAGAAGATATTCTCTGCTATGAACTTTAACAAGAACCACGTGAGGACAAGACTAAGTGACTCTCACCTGCGTGACATTTTGCGCATCAAAACCACTGCCTTTGAACCAGACCTAGCCTATGTGCTGCAGTCCAGATCTCAGTTTCACCCTTCACATTAGTGTAGGCAAGTTTTTTTTTCAATTGAGATGAATACATTGTACGGGTAATTTGGCAATATCTATCTTTTATGGCCCCCAATGAATCCATATGTATTGAGATGAATACATTGTAAAATCTCAGTTAAAGTCAGTTGGTCTAAATCAGTTATAAATATATTTGGACACAACATGTATACTTGGTGTTATGTTCCTGTTCATATTTTTTGAACTTAAAAGTTGACAGACAACCTTTATTACCAATAATATGTAATGTACTTTACAATGTTCCTGACATATATTTCAGCTTCCTGGATTTTTTTTTCATCTGGCCTTCAGATATGAAAGGCAGAGTGATTTAACACCTGTTTAGATTTGTCATCCATGTGACAAAATGAAAAGTATGCCGTTTGCAATAAACTTTGCATAACATAGTTAATTTGCATTTAATTTTAATGGTTCAAATAATGTCAGGCAAAATGGTCGGCCCTCACGCATGTTCACTTCATCAAATCTGGCCCTCTTTGAAAAAAGTTTGGACACCCCTGCTCTAGTGTGATATATGCCATCCAGTGCCAGCAATGCCCCTCTGCCATGTATATTGGCTCTAGTGTGTTCAGATGGCATTTCTAAAACAGACTGAGACACAAGTAGGAAGTGGGGCTCAGTGAACAGAACACAGAACTGCACTTTCAGCAAGAAATGATACCAACGTTTTATACACAGGGAACAAACATTTAGAGTGACAATCATGTACTTACTGAAAAATATATAAGTATCCATTTTATTTTGCATTTGCCTTCACTACATATTTAGGGATAGAATACTTGACGGGTAGGGCTCTCTGATTACATTATGATCTCATCCCATAGTTCTAGAATGGTTATGATCTATTTATGTTAATGCAGAATATCTTCAATATTAATACACGAATACTGGGATTTATAATAATTTAGTATATGTAATATGTAGTATAATATATTAAATAATGTATTTTATATATAATATTTAATATAATAATAATTACTATGATTATATTAATTGGTATACTAATTTGGTATATTTAATATACAGGAGACACCTGCTCTTACGACCTAATTGGTTCCTGGAGAACCATCATAAGTCGAATCCTTATCACCCAGAGGGGCAATGTTATGAATGGGGATTCCTTTCCTGGCTGACTTTACCTCCTGGGAGTTGTAGTGTCCTGGAGCCAGCGATGCGACCGGCCGGGGGCTGTGCCAGGCGGTAGGCAGCCCCCTGGCTCTTGGAACAGAGCTGCCCTAAAAGCAGGGGGGTCACAGGTTGGGCACTTGTAAGTCGGGGGTCGCCTGTATATTTAACATATTTAATTTAGTATATTTAATATATATTTAATATTTAGTATATTTGAGATTGATCTTAATTCAATCTTATTTCCAACCCGAAAAAAGATCCTTTTATACTAAGAAATACCACATTCTTACTTTTCAATTAGTTCACAGGCTTCTTTCTTTGTGTAGTCTGCTTTGCTGGGATCAAGGTGACTTTGAAACCATTGCAATTTTTCTCCTATAGGAACAAAGTGGATGTTGTTTATTATAGTAGCAGTAGCATAGATCAAAATCTGTCAATATTCCTGCAATAAATCCCATTTTTCAGGGGGTTTAAATTCAGTCTTAAAAATTTGCTTCACTATGGTACATGTATAAGGTCTCAGGCTAGGTATGAAATAAATATAAAGAATAGATTTCATCCAGTTGTCATTTTGAATTTGGGAAAGAAGAAAGAACCTATTTATAGGTGGTTTTCTATCCTCCTTTACTAATAGTTTTAAACAACTGGAAATCAGAAGAAAAAAAAGTTAACAAAAATTAACTACAAGTTGAACCTCTCTAGTTTGGCATCCCTGGGACCTGACCAGTGCCAAGCAAGGGAATATGCCAAACAACAGGAGGTCAATATTGTCCACTGCTTACTGATTTCTTCGGAGTAAATTAGAGCTAAATAACAGCACAGAACAGTGAGAGCCAGGACTAGTGGCTATAAACAAACTTTATGGGATCATGGAAAACTTGGCCACACCTATAATAAGTGGACATCCATCTAACTAAAATCATGCCGGACCACGGATGTTGCCATACCAGAGTGTGCCAGATAGGAGTTTCAACCTCAACAAACCAATTCTTGGGCAATCAGTACACACAGTATTTTTTAATATAGTAAATTGTATAAGAATTGGATGAAAAGCTTAAAATTGTTAAAAAAAAAAATCTGTGAGTAATGCTTGTAAAATGTTTAAGAAGTACCCAAAAAAACCACTGTTAAATTATATTACAACATGATGGGGGTGGAGAGAAACGCCATAGTGGATCAATATCAAGACAATCAAATGTGTTCTAGACATTAGCAAGTTAGAGTTGCAGCATAGGAACCTTGACTGATAACCCTTCTCTTAAATTTGAAAAGGTAATTAACAAGCTACAACATCCAACTATTTAAAACGCTATATCAAGTTGTGACCAGAAATCTACCAATCTTCTGTGTTGCTGTGTGCAATCACTGCTAGTCCATAAACATCCGCATGAGGCGATGCAACTATAAACTTTGGAGTGGACTACATGTAATGATATGGACTGACAAGGCTTAGTTATATTAATGAAACAGGTTTGTTCTGTATTATGCTAAGTTGCCTTCTACTACAGTCAGACATGCAATGAAATCCACATGTGCTGCAAAGAAGTAAAGTCAAGAAATCCCAGCTCTGGTTTCACTGGCACATGCTAAATTGAGATGAGAGCACACATAAAAGTCTAACATTTATACAGTTTATTAATAGATTATAACGACAGTCCTCATCTTATATAAAGAACAATTAAGTAGAATATAGGACAAATCTTAATTTTGATTAATACTCACCTACAATACTCAGACGCAAAGCTTTTTCATTCTTCAACCTAGAAGGCAGAAAGTGCATGCACTAGTCAATCATTTCTCAAAAGAAAAATCAATGGAAAAGGTAGGTAAAACATGTACAATTCCACTTCTAAAACATGACAGCATAACAACTTCTGACTTCCTTTTTAGTGTGAGAGGAAATCTCACAACCAGTTAATTCAGATTTTAGTAAACTATTTCCAATGTCTTACAATTGTGCTATTTAAAACAATGGGGGAAGAGGAGGCGGCAAAGAAAAATGATGCCTTGATATTTATTGGACCCTACTGTATCAACATTTTACTGTGACAAGTAGATATCAATGTTTTGATATCTTCACAAAGCCAGCCAATGGCTTTTACACAGTCTTACTCTCTCTCTCTCTCACTGAGTTATGGGTTAAATACTAAAACCTCACTATTCTGAAGGGTGCATAGTAATCTGTTGTCCAGAACGTGTTAAGTACCCCACCCTAGCGGTTGGTTTATAGAAGATACAAGTCTCCTAGAGCTACTAGTTGAATGAGCTGCTCAAGTAATAAAGATTCATGATTATTTCACAAGTTGAACCTCTCTAGTCCAGAACTCTCTGATCCGGAAACATCCATCATCCAGAATGATTTTAGCTAGTCAGATGTCCACGGCCAAGTTTCTCACAGTCTCAAAGTTTGTTTACAGTCACTAGTCCTGGCTTTCAGCATTCTGTGCTGTTTTTTAAACTTTAATTTACGCCTAAGGGTGTGGCTAAACTACACCCCTCTGCCAACAGAGGGATGTAGATTAGGCACATCACCAGGGCTTGACGAACGGCGGCAAAATCCGCTCACCAGCCCCGCACTGCGCATGCGCACGCTGCCGGTGAATGGGGCAACGGGCTGAAATTTACTCACCATGGGTGAGTAGATTCAATGGTTTGTAGAGCCCTGCGCATCACTATTGCAAATGAAGTGGGGATTTAAATATCCCATGCTTCATTTAAATAGAAATGGCCATCGCTTTTTGCCAACGAAGCACTTTGCCGGCAAAAAGCGTCAGTCTAGACGGGGATCGGTCGACAAGGAAAACCTTCTCTGACCGATCTGTAAACCTCGTTGCACGAGGCATAAGGAATCGGTCGGAAAAGGCTTTCCTTGTCGACCGATCCCCGTCTAGACTGCTGCCTTTTGCCGGCAAAGAGCCGCACAGGCAAAAAGTGATGGCCATTTCTATTCAAATGGAAGCGTGGGATATTTAAATCCCCGCTTCGTTTGCAATAGCCATGTGCCCAACCTACATCCCTCTGTTCGCAGAGGGGTGTAGTTTAGACACACCCTTCATGTCCTCTAACAACCCAGTAAGCAGTGGAAGGATTAGTAATACTGCTAGACAATACTGACAATACTGGAAAACTCTCTCTTAGGAACTGGTCAGGTCCCAAGGGTGACTGATTAGAAAGGTTCAACCTGTACTGTTGAGCACAGTTCACTCTCCAGTTATGATCCGCCTTTGTCCTAATTTTGTTTCCAGCAAGTGAGGATAAAATATACAGAAGTATTCTAATTTGAAGGGAAAAATCTCATAATAATCGCAGATTAAAACTGCAGTGTGAATATTTTAACAACTTTTAAAAATAGTATTTCTCCATGTGATGGAAACCTCCTCAAAAGCAATACATGAGAGAGAGTTTTGTATTAAAATATACAAAATAGAGGAGCAGATTCTCAGCTAGTATAAACTTATAGCTTATCCCAGGGATGGGCAATAAGACTTTTCCTCCACAGATACTGGTGCTTGCAGCTCTTGTTGGCCGCAGACCACCGTTCCCGACCAATGGGAGTTGTGGGAAGTGGCATAGACTGGGGGACCACTTCCCACTGCTTCCATTGGCTGGGAACAATGATCTGCAGCCAACAGGAGCTCCAAGTGGCCATACCTTTGAGGTACAGGAAAGTACAATGGTGGTATCCCGCAAGGGGCTAACCAAATCTGACCAACTGGCCAGTATATGCCCACCGCTGGGGTAGAGAGATGCAATTGCTCTCTGGCAACAGTGAAATTGGCAATTCTACTGAATATTTCCAAAGATACGTTAGCTTGGTCGTGACAAACTGCCCAAGACCATATAAAGTTTACACAAAGTATTTGTGGCAGTGCACAGAGGTGATATGTTATTTTTTATTAAAAGTAGGGGAGAGAAGAGGGTGTATATATTTGCAAGAAAGCACATATGTGGAAGTGGATCAGATCATTGTGGAAATTTGCAGATTTTCCTATTTGCCTTGTATAAAAAAAGTCTTCAGCAGACTTTGCTCCTAAAAAGACTGAAGCAATTGTTTTGCAGTTTTTGCACTGTAAGTACAGGTATCCTCCACTCAAAGGAAGAGTGTCAGTTTCTGAGTCCTGTCACATTTCAAAATGAAGGCTTACACAGAACAAACTGCAGACAGCAAGATGTCTGTAATATACTCACATAGCTACTTATGAAATACCAGAGGCAGCAATGCGGGGGAGGGGTCAGCGGAGACTCCCGCGAAGCAGCTTCTACCCATTGCAGCAGCCCGTCCACAAGGGGTACAAGTTCCCTGTAGAAAGGGACTACTGCTGGAGAGGCCTCTATCCGTAACAAGCTTGGGCCTGCCACGGATAGAAGCTGATCCTCGGCGCTGTGGACAAAAGTTGCTTCGCAGTCTTCCTGTGTTACCTTAACTCAAAGTGTATTTTCCTAGTTTTACAACAAGCTACTTAAAAAGCACTAGCAAAGTCAGTGCAAACTATAATTTCATACAGACTGTTCTATATACTGAAATGTTAGTGCAATATTTTACTTTTACTGAGACACTTTTGTATTTTGATTTTATAAGCAAGTAGTTTTAAAGTGAGGTGAAACATGGGGTATGCAAGACAAATTGAGACTTCTGAAAAGGGTGCAGTTGTCTATAAAAGTTGAGAGCCATTGACTTAAGACAGTGCTTGGTTTCTAACAATCTGATTTCATGTCTCACTGCCAGGAGCACTCACAGTAGAAGGGTCCATTACTGGACCCTTCAAAACTAGAATTCCAAGTTATTCTGTCTTCACTGTAATAAAGATATGCTCGAACAAAACACTATGCAATTTGGGAGAAACAGCACTCACTAATATCAAGATTCAGATGAATTTCCTACACTTCTCTAAGGCATTTTATGCACTTCTGCACATCAGCCACATAATACTTACCAATGCTTGTTACCTTGGGAACAAGCCTTGGCAAGTACTGTTGACTGGCCTGGTGAATCATATATGTTACAATCTAATTAGGTCAGACCATTCCTACGTCTTCCTCTGCTAGCTGTAAAAGCTATTCCTGGGCTTAGAGGGCTATAGTGACCTCTCATTATTGCTATACTAAAGGTGTCAGGCAGATAAATTACTGGCTTAGAGAAGGTGTATTGTCTTCTGCATTCTGACATGTGGCAGTGCTGCTGATATCATATACCACACAGATACACATATGCAACCTTCAACAGGCACCTAAGGCTTTGTCAACAGCATAAAAATTTATTGGTAATGCAATACAATCCTCCCTGTTTATTCCCAGTATATAAAAAAGTGTCTTTTCTTGGTTTAGTTTAAATTTGTTTCTAAGCAACAGAAGCTGAACTAAAAGGCGGCACTCTGGTAGAAAACCAGAGTGTCCATACCAAATTGTACTGGTATAATCATATCAGTTTAAATTCACACTAAGTTATACTAGGATAGGTTTCTTCTGTAGATAATCCTTTGATTGGGCAAAGTAGGTCTAAGATCATAATGTAGTCTCATTCTGATACTAATGGTAGTGGCAATCTTGTGCATTACTGTCATTGTACAGAATTTTTACTTTTCTATTCCATTACTGTATATACTTAATTGATGGTTGCACATCGCAGTAAAATCCTTGGATGGAAAGCATAAGAGACAAGTATGGTTTTACTTTTATTTGTATACACTGTACCAGCACCCCCATTTGAAGATCTCCATTTCCACACTGCTATTTTATTTGACCTGTTCACATCCCTAGAGTCCATCAGGACAAAACTGAGACTGAGGTTTAATTTCCCTGTTGGTTACTGTTGTCTGATAACCCTATAAACAAGAAGGTAATGCTTAAAGCAGTGGTTCCCAACCTTTTTTATACTGCAGCCCGGCAAACTCATTCAAAAACTGTTGGTGGACCAGAACAAATATTTGCATATTCATTGTGGTAATTTATTTCCATATTTGCACATTTGTTATTGTAATTTTAGCCCTGGGTATATCAGGCAAATCAGAGGGGAGACATGATAGTTGAAATACTGCTGAAAACACACAAATTAAAAAAACCAACAACAATACAATAGTTGCTAATATTTGTTAAAGAGTATTCTCCAGTCCAAACCTTTTGCCTCAATTGCACCAGAATTAAAGAGACAGTATTAACAGGTATGACAGTGCTGACACATTCTGCACATTGATATTTTTCTATGCACTTAATAATGCATAATAGTAATGTGTGTACCTGCTGGTGGAGAGCAGCTGGAGGCCAGGGGGTGGCTCCCGCCAATCAGGGAGAGGCAGAACAAGTCGCCCGAACAGCTGCTCTGCATGTGGTGCTTGGCCCTGCTAGCCAGGCTGCGTAGTGATTGCTGGAGCTGGAACTGAGGCCACAGTGAGAGTATGTCTAGACTGCATTCCTCTTTCTCGAGAGGAATGAAAATGCAGCCGAGGGAAATTGCAAACGAAGCGCAGATTTGTATTTCCTGTGCTTCACTTGCACAATGGCATCCGGACGCTTTTTCAAAATACCCTATTTTGAAAGGAAAAACAGTCTAGAAACGGGGTTGTTTTGAAAAAAACACCTTTCAAAATAACCCTTAAACCTCATTTTTTAAGGCGTAAGGGTTATTTCGACTGCTAGACCGCTTTTTTCTTTCGAAATACGGTATTTTGAAAAAGCACCTGGACGCCATTATGCAAATGAAGCACGGGAAATTCAAATCTGTGCTTCATTTGCAATTTTGCTCTGCTGCATTTGCATTACTCTCTCAAAAGAGGAATGCAGTGTAGACATACCGTGAGGCTGCCCCAGTAGGGACAGCTCCAGCTGCAGCACAACCAGCTACCGGCTGCCCCACTCACCCTATTGGTGTGTGCAGAAGTGCACATGAAGGGAATTCCTTTGGAACCCCATGAAGAAGAACCAGCAAGCTAGGGAGGTAGCCTGGCAATGTGCCGTGGCCTGTCAGGGGGTTCGCGACCTGCTGCTGGTCCACATGTCGGCAGTTGGTAACCGCTGGTTTAAAGTAGTATAGTAGTTCATGAAAAGACAGATTAACTGTTTGTCATCTCTAACTATGCACATAACAGAAAAAACGTGAAGTGACAGAACGCCTCCCAAAGCTGTTCATATAATATATACTGACATTTAAAAAGCCAGCAAGTAGACCTTTAAAGCACTAAGCAGCACTCTCCCCTTCCTTCTCCCCTCCCCCCCCAAAACAATCCCAGATTGAGGAGAAGATTTGTTCCCAGAAGAGAGAGGCTGTTGTGCCAGGACATGAGATTACCATGACACAAAGGAGCATAAGCAGTAGTGGCAATCAGAACTCTTCTTACCCTGCCTGCACTAGGAAAATTCTATCCTTCCCAATATAGTGCCCTTCCCTAACAAGGAGTGAAGCAGGTCCCATAAAAGAGGAAGAAAAAGATACAGATACCACTTCCAGAGAGAACCTCCAGAGATGTTATTCAAGTTTTATTCTCAGTCTCTTTCTCCTTTGGTAAGGCTAGCAAATATCCATATAGCAAGACATTTTCTGTGCATAAGAAACAAGTGGAACCAAACTTTACTTCAATGTCAACTTGCAGTAGATTAAAACCAGGAGAAAGCCCATGTCAATTACCCATCATGTGTAATTCAGAATCATTTAAAAAAGTACTTTAGTACATAGATGGATGATTAAAGAGCTGAATATCATCTGGCAGAATTTGGCATTATCTTATAGTTTTATGTAATGGTCTAGGATATACTTAATCTTGTCCCTATGCAAGGACATTGACAAAGGCCCTGTCTACGCTAAACCTCTCTATCAATCTAACCTGCACAACTTTTCAAGTACACAAATAGAACAGCTGAAGTTGATGTACTTACTGCAGCATCTTCTGTGTGGTAAGGTCAGCGGGGATGCTCTCCCATCAACTCCGGCGGCTCTTCTCGACCTGGTGGAGTACTGGAGTCAATGGGAGAGCGCTCGGAGATTGATTTATCACATCCATCCACCGTGTAATGAAGATAACACCTAGATGCTACTCCAGGTCCCTTCCAACCCTATATTCTTATGATTCTTTACCTTGACTCTCTCATAAATCATGTTGTATAGTTTAATTTTAAATTATCCCTGTGCGGAAGCTTCTATCAGCCTCCAAGAAATGTTATTCTAGTGCCTAACAGTCTCACTTTTAGGTTGAATATTGGGCATTATTTTCTAATTACCTTTGTTTTAAATTCATCTTATTAATTATTCCTATTTTTACCCAGTACCAAAAAAGTTACATATTTATTGTGCCCCATCTTCTTGAAATTCAGACTCAAAATAATCATTTTTCAAAAACATACAATTAATCTCCCTTTCCCCCACATTGGATAACATAAGTACAAATTAACTCACTTTTCCTTCTTTTCCTGTTTGTGAGCTTCTCTTGCAAGCTGAGCAGCCTTTCTACTATAAGGATGAATGACTTTTTTTTCATGTCCTCCACCTCTACCCTTTGGAACTTTTGGCTGAAATCAAACATAACAAGGAATAAAATGAGACACTTCACTTCTCTTCATCAACTGTCCCATAAGCTACTACAACAAGAGTAAAAGACTGCTCAAATGGAAGCTGGCAGCACCTTATCAAAGAGAATCACTCAAGAAGGATTAAGCATCCACACTTCAGAAAGTTCAAAATTCATAGTACAGTAAAACTCTAATAGTCAGGCACCCAATTGTCAAGCACTCCCAATAATCCGGCATCAAAATGGCAAACGCCGCTCAAGTCAGCCGCTCTCACATGGGTTACAGCAGGGAGGGGAGGTGTTTGGCTCTGGGGGAGGGGGACTGGGTAACGCATGGCATCCTGGCCAGCTCATTGAAAAGTCAGTCACTCAGCGCACGTGCCGCAGCGCCTGGAGGGAGACATGTGACTGTACCGGGACCCAAACATAAGGCTGGGGGGAGAGGGTGGAAAAGGAGTGGGATTGGGTTACAGCAGGAAGGGGAGGTGTTTGGATCTGTGGAAGGGGAAAGGAAGGGGGATTGGGTTACGCATGGTGTCCTGGCCAGCTCATTGAAAAGCCGGCCGCTCAGCGCATGTGCCACAGTGCCTGGAGGGAGATGGGCAGCTGTACTGGTGGCTCTGGGACCCAAGCATAAGGTTGGGGGGTAGGGAAGGGGATTGGGTTGGGAGTATGCAGTACCTCCTGATACTCCAGTATATCCGATAATCTGGCACCACCTAGGTCCCAAAGGTGTCAGATTATCAGAAGTCTACTGTAGTAGGCTTAGGTGGGCTTATATAAATTATATTTGTGTAAGTCCTTCTGTTATTAAGAATAATAAAATGCGACTGCTGAACTCGGTCGGATTCAAACATAGTACATATACAATACGAAAAACAGACATAAATTTTCTATCTTCAGCCTTCAGAATTTGTGTTACAGGCTGCTACTCTTCCACTACGAGACAATATCTTCCTTCTAACAGAGCTCAATGGTGAGAAAACTAAGTCACCTCTAATAACAAGGATACAATTTTCAGTATACTCTTATTTAAACTTTGCCAAATGAAAGCTTCTTTTAGACCCTTGTCACTACTCGACTAGTTGCTCCCACCTCCCCCTTGTGGGTTCTGTATGAGAGGCAGCAAGGTGGGGGAGGGAGGGTAGCAGAAGCCAGTGCTGGAGGGAGCGGGCTTAAAAGCCAACCTCTCCTCCTGCGCCCGTGCACCATCTCTGCACAGTAGGGGGAGGCAGAGGCACTGCAGGGGACCTGAGCCTCTGCTTTTTAAATGTAGTAAATGTTTCCAAGCTCTTACTACTTTTAAAAAGCAGAAGCACAGCAGAATCCCAGCTTGTGCCCAGTCCCAGACTGCTGTGGCTCTGCCTTTTAAATGTAGTAAGAGCCACCAGACTCTTACTACATTTAAAAAGCAGAGGCGCAGTGTCTGGGACCTAGCACGTGCCAGGACTCAGCTATCCTGGTTCGCACCCGGTTCCAGACCACTGTGACACTGCTTTTTAAATGAGCCCGGGCCCAGGCTCACTGCTGTCTGCAGGGAGCTCAGGCCCACCATGGACAAAGGCTGCTTCTCAACAGCCTCCTCTTCCCACCATCCCACGCTACTGCCTCCAATAGAGGCAGCAGCATGGTAGGGAGGAGGCAGGCAGCCCAGCACTGATGCTTTTAGGTGACCTTTGATCCCATTCCAACTTGTGCAAAGTTTCATATTGCCTTTTCTGATGACAGGACCTGGTTAAAGAACCTGCCATGAATGTATGGAAGTTTTTAAAAGGACACTGCTGTACAAGAGATTTTATTCATGGGTAGAACTAAAGAGTACTAATTTTTTTAGATGGCAAAAGCAAAGTTTGCAAATTGGGTGTCAGTGGCCATCATTAAATATTGACACTACTAGCATTTCACTACACTAGCCTCCCTACTCTCCTAGTAACTAAGTTTTTATCCCGATGTACATTTTTAAGTTTCAGCAGACAAGGCTCAGTGGGCGCGCCGGGTAAGGCAGGTGGAGCTAATCGGGGGTAATGACTGGATGCGGTGGCGGGATCCCTTTCGTTAATTCTGGGCAGATGTTCCCGGGCTGGGATGACTGTAAAGTGCAGAGTAACTGTGGCTCTCCGCGGGCACTAGCCAGACACGCCGCCCCTTCTACCTCACCTGCCCCGAGCCGGGCAGCCCCGCGCCCCTCCCGCGTCGCCAGCCTGAGACCCGGCAGAGGAGCCCGTGACGCGGGCGCTGCGGGAGGCACCTGCCCCCTGGTCCCACCCGCTCAGCGTCTTACGGCGCCAAGGGGCCCCCGGGCGGGAGCCGGTGTCTCCCCCCTCCCCCCCCGCACTCACCATGGCCAGTCCCCCGCCAC